GGGGGTATGATGGGGGCATCCCTCGGTATGCTGCAGAAGCTACGACCAGGCAAAGAAACATGGCTTGATGGGCGTTTAATCTCAGGGAAGTAAAACCCCGAGGAAAGCCTGCGTCAGAATATTCGCTGAAAAACAGACCAAGCCTTCCTTGGGGACCAATCTGAAAATGCCCAAAATATTTCTAAAGGGAATGTGGGGAGACACCCCCCTCACCCAGGGTCTGTCTTCTGAATTACTTAAGGATCAGAACACAGTCAGTAAGAGGCTGAAAGCTTTTGTTCTAACGGTGATCACCAGAGAGCCCCTTTGTACCCAACCCGTCCCCATGACGCCAACCCATCTGGGGTGCTGTGTAAGCATTTTTCTGGCTCCTCCCTGGTTTACCTGGAATTGTAGAGCGTGAGCGAGTGTGGGTTTCTCACCCTGATGATGTTACTCGGTTGGATTGTGAAACGTCTGCAAGCAAACCACCAAGCTCCGAGAGCCCCAGGAACACCATGGTTCAACCCTGAGCCACGCGGCGTCTCTTCTCTGGTTACCTGAAATTGAAGCAAAGCTGGCTCCCCCATTTTTGAGGGGGGCAACGCGGCGTTTATGTGTTTCATGTAAAAGCAAACCCTTGCTCATTGTTCGTGGTCATCTGGCTGGGCTAGAAAAGGAATTATGCAGCCTTATCAGCCAGCCTTCATCCTTCCAGTCAGTTTCGCCAACCACCACACCACACTGGATTTTCCTGTCAGCAGCTGCACCAAGCCTTTGCCTGGCTCCACCTCCTGCCCTCCTCCTTCCTCGTGCTCACACAGGGGCTCCAATGGCAACCTTTCTGGAACCAGAGCCACCGTTAGAGCCGCTGTGGTTGCCCTCGTGCTGCCAGGCTCCTCCTCCGGCTTCCAGCTAGCGTGGGTGTTTGTATGGAGGTGGAAGGCTGGGGCCTTTGCCACAGGGTACCTTTCCCCCCAGCAACCACTCATGGCAGATAAATGCACACAAGGTGTATAGAAAAACGGGACGGAGAGGGGACAATTGGTTTCCTTTGAGGTGGGCAGGGGGCGGATTTATGTTCCTCCAGGAGCTTTGACGACTTGATGTGTGGGGCGCTGTGCGTTGCTCTCTTGGTCAGCTGCCTCTGTTAAATTCTTAAAACAAGGACAGCGATCAAGAGCTTGGTTTGGCATAAATGCCTCGTGGGGTGGTGGTGGTTGGAACTTGGCCCGGGGTTACTTGTGAAAGGGAGCTTGCTTTGAACTGTTGTCTTGAAAGCTTCACGCTGACGCCCGCTGACACATAGAGAGAACTCCAGTCGCATCCCCGCTCTGAAATAATCCAGAGGTTCCAAACTAGTGAAGCTCCTTTGATATATGTCCTGTCCTGCAGTGCCATTTGGGAAGCTGCTTTTGGTGGGCAGCTGAGAGCCTCAGGCCAGCAGCCCATGGCCTGGACTTCCCCAACTGCCAGCCCTGCCCTGCCCTGCCCTGCCCTGGCCTGCCCTGGCCTGCCCTTCGCCTGCTGAAGAACACACCGACCTAGGCTTCCCCAGTATGGAGCCCGCCTTTCAGCCTTTCCTTGGTCTTGTTTCTTCTTAGAATCCATCTTCAAGAAAGGCACTGTGAAGTCCTCTACTGGCTGGACGCTTTTTAGGAAGAGTCTCTACTACATATCAACACGAAGAAAGACCTGGTACGATGCTCAGAACTTCTGCTTCTCCAGAGACGCCCACATGGTCTCCATCCTAACTGGCGAAGAGCAGGTCTCGCACATTTTTCTTTCCCAACCGATCTCTAGAGCTTCTTGAGCAGCTGCTCCGTCCTTACTAAATACCCAGGTTTCCCTGTTCATGTCTGTTCCTTTTATGTCCCTGGGCAAACATTTTGCAGGTACTGATTAAACCCTTCCCATCTATGGAGAAGCAGGTTCAGGCTAGATGTCAGGAGGAACTTCCTGTCCGTGCCAGGTGTCAGTCAGTGGAACAGGCTGCCATGTGAAGTGGTGCCTTCTCCTTGGCTGGAGGCCTTCAAGCAGAGGCTGGGTGGCCACCTGTCAAAATGGTGAGGTGGGTCCTGCACTGAGCAAAGGGTTGACCTAGGTTATTCTAAGGTCCCTTCCAACTCTCCGGTTCTGTGTCTATCCAGACACTGTAGCTCCTTCAAGGAGCTTTGTAATGCTGTCCTAAATTATCCATGGCAGGGCTCTTCATAGAAGAGATATAAGAAAGCTCTTCATTAGAAGATCAGAATCGGGAAATAGGCAATGCTTAGCAAATGGGATGTGCCTACCAGAGGGTGGGAAAAGGGGACAGGAACTTTCCAGAGATGCATGCACCCTTCTTCTCTATTTACAGAAATATTTAATACATACAGGCAGTCCTCATTTACTGGCCACTTGTTCAGTGACCATTCAAAGTTACGATGATGCTGCAGAACTCAGCTTTATGACCAGTTTACAACCATTTATGTCATTTGCAGCATCCCTCAGTCCTTTGATCACCATTACAGTCAGTATGCATTGTTCTGTGCCTGACCTGTTGTTTTTCTCCCTCCCCCACTTGCAAAGTGGAGAGATTGCAGAGAAAGGGATCGGAAAAGAGTAAGCAGGCACACAGTGGGGAATACACTGGCTGTTTGCCAAGCACGCTTGCAGCTGCCAGTGTCAGTGCATTGCTTTCGATGTGTGCAGTACCTGGTGGTGTGCCTTCTGATCCCTTTCTCTGAAATGAATGTAAATACAAACATTAATTCCCTTTTTGCTAATTATCCAGCTCCAGGGTGAGCATTCCCAAGGGCAAGGGAGTGTTAGGAGGCAAACAAAAGCTGAAGGTGTGAAACTGATCAGTCTTTTCAGTTTTGAGCTGGAAAGCACAGTCAGAGCGATGTAACTTCCCACTTAGCAATCGTTTTGCTTAGCGACGGGGTTGCCAGTCCCACTTGTGCTCGCTAAAAGAGGACTACCTGTACAGTAGCCTTTGCTTTCTCTTGATCTCACCCTCGATCTCTCACAGAGAAGGCGAGACAAGGCCTTCTATAGAGATGATTTCAGAAGGGCCCGCTTGCTCCTGCTGGATGCACAACTGCAGATTCTTCCCTCTTGACACGCAAGGTGTCACCAGTCCATGCCACCCACCAAGGACCCTGGGAATGTCCAGCCCCTTCTTCCTCTATTCCTCAGTGCTTCTTGCCCTGTTATATGCTTACAGCTAGAAGCGAGGGGCTTAATTAAGCATGAAGCTTCTTGGTGTCTCTGCTGCTGACCCTGGTTGGGATCCGCAGGGGAAAAAACCTTTAACTTTGGGACCATGGAATCTCTACCCTGGGGCAACTCACCCTGCCATGAGGCCCACTTTTGGTGGTCTTCTACAGGGTCTTACCCTGGAGCACATCAGGTTTCCCCTCAAGAAATTATGGCTGGGCCCAAATGAAGAACCTATCCCAGATCTGTCCCAGGTTCTCCACAAGGTTTGGAGGACAAGCAGACTGCTTGCTTGGGTGGAGAGAGAGCTGCGAAAGGTGGCCCTTCAGGGCTTTAGCGAAAGCATGTCTTCTCCGGATGTAGTAAAGAACCAGCTTTTCCTAGCCATGGAATTGGCTTCTTTTGGCGAAGGAGCACGAGGGGTTTCTTTGTTGGCGCTTGGTTGAACATGGCATTTCTACCCCATGAAGCTGTGCCTTCTCTCCTTTTTTGGCAGAAGTACGTCTCTTCGCAGCTCAACGAGTCTGCCTGGATTGGCCTGACCGATGAAAAAGAGGAAGGCCGCTGGGAGTGGTCAGATGGTTCCAGATTAGCAATACAGTGAGTCTGCAGCAATGGACTCCCCCTGCCCCGGGGCTTTCAAAAGATCAAGGCCTGCACCCCATTGCCACATTTGAGGCACATTGGCTGAGGGTCACATGAAGCCCCTCATGGGTTTTTGTGGCTGCGCTCTTCAAATAGGGTTGTTTTCCAGGGAAAGTTAGAGCTGTAGTTTCCTACCATCCTAGGCATTTAAAAGACTAAAATTGCCCCAAGACTATTGAAATGGGTTCATTTTTCTTCTTGACATTTAAGACTGCCCAATTTTCAGGTATTTTTTAGATAAAGGTTGGCAGAAGTGTTATCTTCTTCCCCTTATGATCACATCCTTCCCCCCATCCTTCTACTCTATGGGCTTTTATGCCCAGGACTTTTCCTCTGTGTGAGTATGGGTATTACAGTATCCTTTCCCTCTCCCCCACCCCCCCAGGTACTGGGATGCTGGCAGCCCCACCCTGATAAAGCAGAATGAAGAAATGGAGCGAGATTGCGCGTTCATAAACCCTTTGTCTGGTGCACATAACTGGAATGATGACAACTGCCATGATCTTAAACAGTGGGTTTGTAAGGAGATCCTAGTTGCTGAAGAATCATAATATTTAAGCAAACCCTACTACCTGGAGCAACCCTAGATGTGAAAACAGTTTTGTTTTTCTCCACCTAAAACAGTAAAATAATGAAGGATATCTTCTTGTGCTTGCATCCTGGAACAAAGGAACAGCCATTAGGTTGATTTCACATATAAGCGCTGCAACCAAGCCTGGACCTTGTGCAACCACCTCTTGGTCTCTGCATGCATTCTCAAGACACACTTCCCAAAGTCACCTGAAGTATGGGTGACTCAGTGGTCTGGATTCATATGATGTACTGGCTGTGCGCTGGGTTCCGACAGCTAGACAGAAATGTGATTGACTAACTTATGGGTCAGCATCTCATGTGGACCTAACCAATATATTCGTTTAAGGCTGATCATCACCTTGATCCAAGCCCAATTTTTCTGTCCAAGTCATTAGACCACAAGGATGTGGATCCATCCTGTTTTCTCTGTGTGTTGTTCCAGGCATTTAGGTCAACCCTCTTGGACTTTCTCATCTGCAGTCATCTGCAGAAGGAAGGTCTTCTCCTTCAGGAGGCCATGTTTGTGGCATCCCAAAAGATACTGGTGCCCTCTCTGTTCTACAGATCATGCCAACTCTGCCATGCCTGCCCAATCTTTGATGTTATCTTCTCAGCAAATTGGGGTGGGGACCAAGGATACCCCGCCATAGTTTTGCAGTTGACCTAAACACCACTGGACTGCTGGTTGTATTGAAACCTGGTTTTAGGTGATGAATAGGCAGGTGGGAGAGAACGGGGGATGGAAAGTGGCCTAGGAGGGAAGCTGAAGTACTTGCTAGAGAGAGGGTGCATCCTGGCTGGCATGGGTGGATGGCATGCCACCAGCTGGGCTCCCTCCCTTTCAAGTTGCAAGGTACCCAAGGTGGTAAACTTGCTCATCGATGCCAGGTAAGTTCTCAGTGCTTTGGGGAGTAGAGAGATGATACAATAGACTTTCTTGCTCCTGAGAGCTCTCCTTCCTTTCACTGAGCCAAGTCAACTCTTTGGTTCACAGGGGAGCTGAGGGCAATAGGTGGATGGGACATCAAGTGGGGCACAGATGGAGGACCTTTGTTGAATCTTTGTTGACTTTGCAGGGGCCGCTGGTGGCAAGGAGTTCCTTTGCAAAGCTTCACCTAGAAGGTGAAGCCTGAGACAGTCAGATTTGGGGACGGTTACCTGTGCCTTGTGGCATCCTGCGAAGAGCTCTGCGTGGGGCCACCCTTGAAAAACGTCCTGAAGCGCAACTGGCCCACAGCTCATGTGATGCTTATGCTGAAGGAATGTAGTGGCTGCCAGTTGTTTTCAGAGCACAACTGAAGGAGTTGCGTCGAGCATAAAGCCTTGGATGATGTAGGACGGGACACTCTTGAGGAACGGCCTCTCCTGTTACACTTCGGTCTGGCTGTTCAGATGTGTAGGAAAGGCCCTTCCAAGTGTCAGGAGGTCTTCTCCGGTATCGCTCTGGTCCAGGGTTTC